ACTCAGGAATTCTGGGAGTTGAAGTCCACAAGTCTTTAAGGGGCCATAGTTCTCCACCTCTGCTGTAGGAGGTTGAAAAACATTGGAGTAGAAGGCGAGTGGAATAAAGTAGACCACTGGTCATTCCAGGATATCCCAGAAAAGTGGATGGAAACTGGAGAAGGACTGGAACCCATATCCAGGAAAAGGAGGAAGGTGGGACGCTGTCCAAGAATCTTTGGTGAGGAGAAATGTGGGGAGAACAGCCACCTGGATGCAAGCCAGAAATCAGAAACAGCAGGATGTGGACAACTTCCTGACCTCAAGAGGCTCTCAAGGTGAAGGGAAACGCAGCCAGCAGAATTGCATGAAGACACGAGGCTGAAGACACCCAGCCAGGAAGACGCTGTGTGTCCGTGCGCCAGGGAGGAGGCCTTGAGTTAGTTTTGGGATGTAGACCAGAAGGCAGCTTTCCCAGTGCTGAGGACTTCCAGATGTTCTGGACTCCTGATCCTCTAAAGCTCTGCCAGCCTGACCTGTTCTTGGAGAACCTCTGATGGGGAACGGCTGGTGAGAGTGAAAGGATGAGGCTGTTCGGTTGGAGCCCTGATGTTCAGAGTGAGACTTTGGTGGCACCCTCCAAACCCTACGTCTTGGCAAGGTCACTCTTAAATGAAGCCAGTCAAGGCCACTTCTGGCCACCAAGGACCAAGGCACCCCTCCCAGTAGGTGTCTTTGCAGAGCCACATATTGGGCAAGAGTAAATAGCTCCCAATTCCCCTTGAGCATCAAAGGGGAGAAGGTAGAAACCTAGAATCCTAGAATTATAGAAACGTAGAATCCTAGGGCTGGAAGGGACTTTCGAGGTCTTCTAGTCCAATCCTCTGTTCCAGCAGGAGACCCTACACCATTTCTGACAAACGACAGTCCAATCTCTTCTTCAAAGCTTCCAGTAATGGAGCATCCACAACTTCTGGAGGCAAGTAGTTCCACTGATTAATTGTTTTTACTGCCAGGAAATTTCTCCTAAGTTCTAGTTCTCTTCTCTCCTTGATTACTTTCCATCCATTGCTTCTCGCCCTGCCTTCAAGTGCTTTGGAAAATAGGTTGACCCCCCTCTTCTTTGGGGCAGCCCCTGAGATATTGGAAGACTGCTCTCATGTCTCCCCTAGTCCTTCTGTTCACTAGACTAGCCATGCCCAGTTCCTGCAACCGTTCTTCATATGTTTTAGCCTCCAGTCCCCTAATCATCCTGGTTGCTCTTCTCTGCACTCTTTCTAGAGTCTCAACATCCTTTTTACATCGTGGCCACCAAAACTGGATGCAGGATTCCAAGTGTGGCCTTACCAAGGCATTATAAAGTGGTATTAACACTTCACGTGATCTTGATTCTATCCCTCTGTTGATGCAGCCCAGAACTGTGTTGGCTTTTTTGGCTGTTGCAGCACACTCTTGGCACCTATTGAAGTGATTGTCCACTAGGACTCCGAGATCCCTCTCACAGTTACTACTATTGAGCAGTTACTACTATTGAGCAAGGTACAACCTAGATTGTATGTCAGGGTTCCAAGTAATAACTCCATAGAACTCCGAGGCAGAACTCCAAGTTCCTCCAAGAACAATTTTATTGGAAATCACATATTGGCAAAAAACTGGTGAAAACCGACTCTGAAATTTCCCGCGGGTTTTCACCTGATTAAAAAGTCAACGTTCCTTCTTTCCCCAAACAATCAATCACATCACATTGTCCCATCGAGGTGCTGGCTGGTCGTTTGGTAACTGGGCTCCTCCTCTCCACACAGCCACCTGTCAGAATGTCCTTGGTTCCCACAGGAAACTATATTTTTTTGGCTACAAACCCCCATCTATGTTCCCCCCTCCCTATCCCTTCTTCACACTGTGGCAACCCTGAAGCTTCCAAAATGGCCCCAAACAGAGTTGACACTGTACCTGTGCGTTTGATTTTTCTCACCTAAATGTAGAATCTTGCCGTTTTCTTTTTTAAGCTTCAGCATCCTTGAACTGGTCAGCTTTCCCTTCCCTGGACGATCAGCCTCAGCCATCCAGACCTGCCAGGTGAGGTCATGGAGGAGGCCTCGGCCAAGGTGCCTCCGGAGAGGGAAGCCGCTGGCCAGCCACTGGACAAGGCAGAGACCGACACAGCCTCGGCTGCCAGAGCGAAAGCAACCTGGGAAGGCAGTTTTTCTTCACTTCTCTTTTCCCCCATCCTGGAACCGTCTTTGTTTTTTAATATATTTTTTTCCCTTCTTCCTCTGCTTGGATCCATTCGAGGACTTCCAGCCCCAAGGGATTAATATTTCATTGCCTTTATGTGTAAGCTATCCAGGGAGTCGGTTTTGGGTTTCTGCCTTAAAGGCAGCCTGGAAAGATCTTTTAAAAAGAAGAGGAATAAATCAATGTCTGAGGTCGTCTCCGAAATTTGATCATCATTCGGAGGGGGGGGGGCGGTGTTTGAATCTTGTTGCAAGTGAGGAAAGATCTCCCCTCCATCCCATAGCTCTCCCCCCTCCCCACAATTCTGCCCCACCCAAGCGAGCAATGCATCACGACTGTCTTCACCCGGTTTGCTGCCATCCATCTGTCTCTCCTTTTGGCTAATAATAGCAAATACAAGGCCAGCTTAAGCCCAGAAACTGGCAGTTGAGTTGCAAAGGTTGGTGCCGAAAGAGGCCAGGAAGGAATCTGGTTATGATCTTTTCACAAACGGGCACCAAAATGTCTCTTTCGAATGAAAGTTATTTTATTAAGAGGCATACGACTGCAAAGGGTCCCAAGTGATGTTGGCCAATTGGGTGAATTGGCGGGCTCTGCAGGCACTCCTTCCCCCGACTGATCGGTTGCCAGTAGAGAGGACATTGGTTCTCAGGAGAAAGTCCTTTGTGGTGGGTTTCAAAATTTTTTATTACTGGTTCTGTGGGCGTGGTTTGGTGGGTGTGGCTTAGTGGGCCTGGCAGGGGAAGGATACTGTAAAATCTCCATTCTCTCCCCACTCCAGGAGAAGGGTACTGCAAAATCCCCATTCCTTCCCGATCAGCTGGGAGCAGAGAATAGATGGGGTGGGGCCAGGCAGAAGTTTTACTACCAGTTCTCTGAACTATTCAAAATTTCTGCTACCGGTTTTCCAGAACTGGTCAGAACCTGCTGAAACCCACCTCTGATTCCAACCTCCGTCCCATCCCCTCCCTTCCCTTTCTGTGTGGCAACTGAGGAACAGAGAGATGGCTGCGGTTCAAAGTTGACCATAAGATGATAAGATAAGATGACCTTTATTGTCACTTTTTTCTGTAAATAAACCAGCACACTTTTAAAAAATGAAATTTGGATGCTTGAAAAGACAGATAGATAGATAGATAGATAGATAGATAGATAGATAGATAGATAGAGATGGATGGGTGGATGGATAGATAGATAAATATAGATATGGATGGATGGATGGATGGATGGATGGATGGATGGATAGATAGATAGATAGATAGATAGATATAGATAGATATGGATGGATGGATGATAGATAGATAGATAGATAGATAGATAGATAGATAGATAGATAGATAGATATGGATGGATGGGTCGGCAGATGGATAGAGATGATATAGATATAGATACACACAGAGAGAGATGAGAGATGAGAGAGAGAGAGAGAGAGATTAGATAGAGAGATATAGAGATACACACACATATATCCATTCACATACATGTACATATACATATGCTATATATATGCACATATACACACACAGATACACACATATATTGTCTATATACTGTATGTGTGTGTGTGTACCTGTATATTCATATTCTTGTATATTCATATTTTTGTAATATTTAGTTATATTATTTTATCTTTCATGTTGTAAGCCTCCCAGAGTTACCCTGTGGTAATGTGGGAGGCCAAATACTTTAATAAATAAATTTAAAAATGGAGGCCGTAAATTACAAGGAGTTCATTTCAAAAGGAAAAGGCTTAACGTATTTAGACCAAGGGACAATTGATTGATTGATTAAATTTTTTTGCCGTCCATCTCACCGCAAGGCATTTCAACGTGAAGTTAGAATGCCAATAAGCAAGGCAGGCAGTCCTCGTTTTACGACCAACAATAGGGACCAGAATTTCTGTGGCTAAGCAAGGCAGTCGTTAAGCAAGTCGCACCTGATTTTACAACATTTTCCCCCACAAGTTGTTAAGCAAACCATTGCAGTTGCTAAGTGAATCCTGCGGTCGTTAAGCAAATCCAGTTTCCTTCATTGACGTTGACGACTGGGAAGGTTGCAAATGGCGATTGCATGACCCTCATAAATACATGCCTGTTGGCAAGCCCCCAAATTTTGATCCCGGGACTGTGGGGGAATGCTGCAATGGTCATAAGTGTTGTAGTAAATCTCTTTTTTTCAGTGCCGTTGCAACTTTGGGCACTAAACGAAGGACTGTAAATCCAGGCAGCCACAAGTGAAATAAAGATTGAACGGGAGGGAATTAGCTGTGCCAAAACGGGAAAGAGACTTTGAGCACATCCAAAAATGAAATTTCAAGGCCACTCTGGTTATTTACGGCTTCTAAAAAATCTGAGCAGATCTGGCTTTCTTTCCTGAAATCTGGGAAGATTCTCGTCCGCTGCTTTTTCTTCCCTTTCTTGGAAAGATTCAACGCCCGAAGGATCCAGCAAGCGCCTCCCTTGGCATTTTAATCTCGCAGAGGGATTACAATCCCACCATCGGGGAATGGAAGAGATTCTCAAGCCTAGGGCACATTCAGGGCAGGGATCTACTGATGGGATGCCAAGATCAAACCAGGCATCATTAGATCAATCGATCACCAAAGAGCGGGTTCTTGATCCCCTAGGAATCTCTAGAGCAGTGTTGCTCTTCCTAGCTTTGCTGGCTGGGGAATTCTGGGAGTTGAAGTCCACAGGTGGGACCAGGTAAGATACCCTGCTCTAGACACCCCAAAGGTGTTTTTTTTCAAGAGGCAACTGGATGTTCTTCTTTTTTTCTTTTCTTTCTTTTTTTTTTAAGATTTCATTTTTTTATTTTTTCAAACAAAAAACTACATAAAAGCATCATCCTTTCAAACAATTACAGACAGTGTTTCGGTCGGTTAAAATCTTTTTGTGCTCACAAACTCTTCAAGATTTCAATATATGACACATGTTTCTTTTCCCCTAAGGGAAAAAAAAAAGAAATTTTTACACATTTTATCTTAACTTCATTTCATATATCATATTTCATCTCCATGTTTTATTATCTATCCATTGATAAAATAAATCCCATATCAAATAATATTGTTTATCTTCCTGTTCTCTTATTTCAAATATCAATCTACTCATTTCAGCACAATCCAACATTTTCTTAATAATTTCTTCATCAGTAATTGTCTTCTCTCCTTTCCAATTTTTGGCAAATACAATTCTAGCTGCTGTTAAAACATTCACAATTAAATATTGCAATTCTTTATTAAATGTCTCTGGTAAGATCCCTAATAAAAATGTCTCTGGTTTAAAGTCAATATGTCTCTTTGTCATTTTTTCAAACCATTCTTCTTTTTTTCTTTTGAAGACATTTCGCTTCTCTTCCAAGAAGCTTCTTTGGCTCTGACTGGATGGTGGGAAAGGGAAGGATTTATACTCCTTGCAGACAGCTGGTCATTTGCATCCTTTTAGAGGGTCGTTGAGGCCACTTGGAGGTTTACCTATGTCCTCAGGGTCACCTGAGTGGTGCAAATGGTTTCTGTAGTCTGCAATTTTTTCCTCTGGAAATCCATTCCTACTCCCACACCATTCCAAGGGTTGTAAATCCCAAATTGAATAGCTAAAAGTCCAGGTGCCTCCGGAAAAAGCACCTTTGGGACAACCATGGCTTGGATGACTAAGAATCTCTACAGACTTCCTGCTCTAGATAGTTGTGAGTCAGACGTTCATAGACAGTTGCTCAACCTAAGCTATTCAAGAACATAGAATACAGAAGTTGGAAGGGACCTTGGAGGTCTTCTAGTCCAACCGCCTGCTCAAGCTGGAGACCCTATACGCATGATGGCGAACCTATGGCATGCGTGCCACAGGTGGCACACAGTGTTGTGGTCCGCCAGCAGCCTGCGGAGCTGGCAGCGGAGTCAGACAGCGATGAGGCTGAGGAAGAACAGGGGCCAGTCCTGGAGGCTGGGGAGGGCTCTTCATCGGAGGCAGAGATGGGGCCAGGCCCATCGGGGAGTGATGCGCAGACTTCGGAGCCTCCAGAGGCTGACAGCAGAGAGGCAGAGGAACAGGAGGAGCCTGTTCCTTGTGCACGCATGAGAAGAGCTGCCAGAAGGCAAGAGCAGCTAAAGCAAAAGGGACGACTCGGGAGTAAGGCCAGGAGATGATTGGCCCCTCCCATAAGGCTTAAAACAGACTAGCAACGGCTCTTGGGCTCTTTGTTGGAAAACAACGTTGATAGATTTGTTTCTTGTCTTGCTGCATTTATTTCTTGTCGGCGTCTTCTGCTTCTGAACTTTTGCCCAGAAAAGCCTTTGGCAGGTTGCCAAAGTAGACCAAGGTTGGTGATAAGGCTGAAGAATTGTGTTATGAAGAATTTGTTTTGAATTAGTTTGGACTACGCTGGGAATGAGTTAATTCTCACCTGTTCTAATAAAGTCTGTTTGTTTCAAACTGATTGCGTCTGATAATACCTACTTGGGCCTGGGTCACAACACACAGAGCCATATCTGTGGGCACCTGAGCATTACTCTAGCTCAGCTTCAGCGCGCATGCGTGCACCGGCCAGCTGATTTTCGGTCCTTCTGGGCCCACCAGAAGCTGGGAAATGGCCATTTGCGGCCTCCAGGGGGCTTCCGAGAGGGTGGGGGAGGCCGTTTTCGCCCTCCCCAGGTTCCAAGAAAGCCTCTAGAGCCTGGGGAGGGCAAAAAACAGGCCTACCGGGCCCACCGGTAACCTTTTTGCCAATGCGTGCCAAAAGCGGGGGGAGTGCGGGGGATGCACGCGCATGCACGGGGGCGGCATTGAATTATGTGTGTGGGCACGTGTGCACGCGACCCCCCCCACACACACACTCCCCCCACTTTTGGCACACGACAGCAAAAAGGTTAGCCATCACTCCCCTATACCATTTCAGACAAGTGGCTGTCCAGTCTCTTCTTAAAAGCCTCCAATGATGGAGCCCCCACAACTTCTGGTGGCAAGCGGTTCCACTGGTTAATTGTCCTCAGGGTCAGGAAATTTCTCCTTAGTTCCAGGTTGCTTCATTCCTTGATGAGTTTCCGTCCGTTGCTTCTTGTCCTGCCTTCAGGTGCTTTGGGGGATAATTTGACCCCCTCCTCTTTGTGGAAGCCCCTCGAGCTGAGCAGCCAAGACCTAAACCAATCAGGACACACACATTTCCAGTAAGTCAAAGTAATCCTTGATTTGCAATCATCCATTTAGCAACGGCAAGGAAAAAAAATTACCTATGACTGATCATAAATCACTGAGGACCATCACAACATCCTCATAGTCACATAATCAACAGCTGAGAAGCATGGACCTTACCCTGGTGTCAATTCAGCAGAGGGGGGCAGATCCAGTCCTGCCAATATACATTGACTAGCAAGGTTTCCTCCTTCCTCCTTCCTCCTTCCTCTTCCTCCACTCCACCATCCCCCTCCCTTCTAGCAAACAATGATGTTAGGATGAGGTGACTGAGGCATGGGGGATTGTGAGCAGGGATTGCTGGTCCAGGAAAGGGTGTCACTGAGGTAGGTTTCCTCCCAGGGAGCTCACCTGTATTTCTGCACCTGGGGGGAAATGCCCAGCCAATGAAATCAGAAGAAGTAGGAAAACGGTATGCAAAATCTTCCCTAACAGAAAAGTGGCACATTGCAAACCTCACAAACGTTGCAAATTTAGACACTGGGAGGAGTTGTGGCTGGCAGTTTCCCCTCAGTGGGAGGGCAGGTGCAGAAATACAGGTGAGCTCCCTGGGTGGGAAAACTACCTCAGTTACATCCTTCCCTGGACCAACAATCCTTGCTTGCAGTCACCCATGCCTTAGTCACCACATCCTAACATCAGCACTATTAGAAGGGAGAGGGGGTTTGCAGAGAGGAGGAGGAGGAGGAGGAAGAAGAAGAGGAGGAGGAGGAGGAGGAAGATAGGAGCCCTGATAGCGCAGCAGACTAAAGCACTGTTATTAACATCAGCTGCCTGCAATTACTGCAAGTTCAAATCTCACCAGGCTCAAGGTTGACTCAGCCTTCCATCCTTTCTAAGGTAGGTAAAATGAGGACCCAGATTGTGGGGGCAATAAGCTGACTTTGTATAAATATATACAAAAGTATGAAGGCTATTGCTTAACGCATTGAAGGCACCCTGAGTCTCTGGAGAAGGGTGGCATATAAATCAAATAAAAGAAGAAGGAGGAGGAGGAGGAGGAAGAGGAGGAGGAGAACTGTGGGGTCCTTGGTGCTCTCTGAGCTTGGTTGCTATCTTGTAGACATTTCGTGGCCTAACTAGGGAACATCATCAGTGCTAGAAGGGAGGGGAGTTTGAGGAGGAGGAGGAGGAGGAGTATGATTGGGATGTCCTTGGTGCCCTCTGCTTCCTTGCAGATGTTCTATGACCTGAATATAACTTCATGAACACTAGAAGGTTGTGTAGAACCAAATTAGCTCATAAAACATCTGCAAGACAACATCCAAGCTCAGAGACCACCAAAGACTCCATAGCCCTCTTCCTCTTCCTCCTTCCTTCCTTCCTTCTCCTCCTCCTCCTCCCCTCCACATACCCAACCCCCTTCTAGCATTGATGATGGCCCCTAGTTGGGTCATGCAACGTTTGCAAGGAAACCACCCTGCTACAGAGAGCGCCAGAGACCCACCCCCATCTCAATCCTGACCTCCAAAAAATTCTCTTCCATGGATGCCGGCTTCCCGATCCCTTCTTGGCAAAGCAAGCAAGCCAACCTTCACACCTTGAGGGACAAGGTTTGCAGGACGTTCCCAGGTCTTTCAGGATGGAGCCAGAGGTCCCCGCTGAGAGTGTTTCGTGTTTTTTGGCTGGTGTTCTTTTGGGGTCAACGTAGGGGCTACAAGCAAGGCAGGACCTAGCTGTGGACTTTGGATCCTGAAGCGAAACTCAGAGAGTCCCTTCGCCTGCTTCACATCATGGTTTCTGAGTCATCTTCTCCATGCCGGAATCTAAGTTCTGCACGTCCGACTTCTATTGTTTTCCTGATGTTTTCCCCATTCGGGCCTTGCCAGCTGTTGTCCTCTCACCCTCTGGCAGCTGTCCTTCCACTGGGCTTGTCCCTCTCTCGAATTAACAACACAGCCCGCCCCTCCGAGACAGGCCATAACCTGTTACTAGTTAAGTGCTAAACTGGCAGGAACGGGGGTGATCGTTTGGAAATCCCCTCCCTCTGACCCTGAATGCTTTTAAACACCCCCCCCCCCCCCCCCCCCCCCGGAGTTTCCCGGCCCTGGTTTTTTCCCCCCTCTTCCATTGCCTTCTCCTGCCTCAGTTTCCCTGCGGGCAACTAGCAAAATGCTGGAGTGGCCCAGCGAAGGAGCTTCTGCATTAGCAGACTGCCTGCAACATGAAAGATGTTGCTTTAAAGCAGGGGTCTTCAAACTTGGCAGCTTTAAGACTTGTGGACTTCAACTCCCAGAATTCTCCAGCCTAGCTGGCTGGAGAATTCTGGGAGTTGAAGTCCACAAGTCAGCTGGCTGGAGAATTCTGGGAGTTGAAGTCCACAAGTCAGCTGGCTGGAGAATTCTGGGAGTTGAAGTCCACAAGTCTTAAAGCTGCCAAGTTTGAAGACCCCTGCTTTAAAGCTTATAAAGGCTGATCCGAAGTCTCCACCCCCCTCCACTCAGAGACCCCCAACCCTGGCCTGAAGCATTGGGAGTCCCTCTCCGAATTGCTCTGTGCAAGAGCAGCCAATTTTGGGCTAACATACATGTTAAGTGGTTAGAAAAGATGATAGGGAAGCATGTAGATCTCAAATCTGAATCTGTTTTTACTTTAACATTAGAAAAATTCGATAAGCAAAGTATTATATTTAATATTGCACATCTTTAAAGCCACAAGGATTATATTTGCACAATATTGGAAAAAACGAAGAAACGCCGCGAGACGAAGAGATAATTAGGAAGATACTTAAGATTGTGCAGAAATGTGCAGACTTACGCTGAAGGTTAAACAGAAAGAAGACACAGAATATGATCAAGCATGGACTTTATTTTTTCCAGTGGTTGGAACAAAGAGGTGGAGATTAAGAATGTAATCCACACTGTTTTAAGCAAATTAAGTCACCCAGACCACATGGTTTTTATCAAGCACTAATAAAATGTAAACAATAGAAAATTAATAAAATCTTTTTTTAAAGAGAGAGAGAGAGAGAGAGAGAGAGAGAGAGAGAGAGAGAGAGAGAGAGAGAGAGAGAGAGACCAGCCTTGGCCTGGGGAGCCCCGCTCTGAATTGCTCTGTGCAAGATTGAGGGGGAGGGGGAAGCCCCTCATCTCACCAAAGCAGCAAAGGACCCTCAAAATTTTATTTATTTATTTATTTATTTATTTATTTATTTATTTATTTATTTATTTATTTATTTATTTATTTATTTATTTATTTATTTATTTAATTGGTTCGATTTATATGCCACCCCTTCTACGGAGACTCAGGGCGGCTTACAATGCATTAAGCAATAGCCTTCATACTTTTGTATATACCTGCTTAGTTGGGCTAATTTATTTATTTATTTGTTTGTTTGTTTGTTTGTTTATTTATTTATTTATTTTATTTTATTTATATTTATTTTATTTATATTTATTTATTTATTGTTTGTTTGTTTGTTTGTTTGTTTATTTATTTATTTATTTATTTATTTATTTATTTATTAGATGTATATTGCCACCTATTCGCCCATGGCGACTCAAGGCGGCTTACAGAATATATATAAAAAAAACCACATTTAAAAAACTAAAACTCATAAAAAATCCAATAAATTAATGTAATAAAATCACCCACCTCCCCCCCCCAGCGACAGCCAATCTCACGAGCCATTGAATGGGCTCCCTCCCGCTTTGGGTTCCCCAGGCCCTCTGGCAGAACCAATGTCTTCAGAGCCTTTTGGAAGAGAATTAGGGTGAGGGTGAAATGGTCTGTGTAGCATCTTCTGCTTGAGCGAGGGGGCTGGACTAGAAGACCTCCAAGGTCCCTTCCAACCCGATTATTCTATGTTCTTGAATAAGCCTTCACCCTGTGTTCTCCAAAGCACCAGAAAGCAAGACGAGAAACAACAGATGGAAACTTATCAAGGAGAGAAGCGACCTGGAATTAAGGAGAAACTTCCTGACAGTGAGAACAATTAACCAGTGGAACTGCTTGCCACCAGAAGTCATGGCTGCTTCATCACTGGAGGTTTTCAAGAAGAGACTGGACAGCTATCTGCCTCAAATGGTATAAGGTCTCCTGCTGGAGCAGGGGGCTGGACTGGAAGACCTCCAAGGTCCCTTCCAGCTCTATTCTGATTGAGAAGAAGAAGGGACCCAGCAGGCTGGCATGTCCTATCTGTGGCTGTGCCACCCCACACTCGAGGCCCAGCTTTTCCTGTTCCTGTCTGGGTCTGGCTTGGCTGTCTCTCCCCGATAAGCCTCTCGTGGGGCTTAGCCCTGGGCTTCATGCAGGAAACTGAGCCCCCCCTTTTTTCAGCCCTTGTGTACAAGAACAGGGGCCCCCCAAAGGACATCAGGACACTCCCAAAGTGCTGAAAACATTCCATGTTCCCAGGGAGGCACAGATGGGCTTCGTGCCAGCCAAGGCGGTGGCACAGAGCGGGACGGACAGCTCCAATTCTTAGCCTTCACTGCACCCAGGACCTGACCAGGAAAAGCCAGCTGGTGGGGCTCTTTTCCCAGAAAAGATCCACCCCCCCAAGCCCGTCGCTCAAATTCCCCCTTCAACACCAGCCCACTCTCCCGTCTAACTTAATGCAATTTCTTTTAAAGTGTGCATTTAATTTTTCCTGGAAGCCTCCCTCCCCTGCCATTTCCCCCCCACCCTCCCGCTCTCCTATTCGTGATGACTGAGTGATCTATCCACCCAGCCAAGGGGAGGGGAAGGGGATGACTATAAAGGGAGAGGGCTCCTGGGTCGGAGGTAACCTCGCAGCGTCTGGTGGCTCGTGAGTTGGCAAGGCAGGCAGTGAGAGAGCAGAGCGGAAGGCAGCTTCTCTGCAGGCACCATGGCAGAAGGTAAAAATAATAACAATAATAATAATAATAATCAGGAAGTCCCTGGCTAGGGACTTTGGGGATCTGGGGTTCCCCCTGATTTTCCAACCTCCAACCCTCCAGAAAAACTTTGTGAAACTTTTTCAAAAAGTTTTGCAAAAAGTTTTGCAAAAAGAAAAAAAGAAAACGACATGGAGACTAAAACATGAAGGATTTGGGTTTGGCTATTCTAAGGAAAAGAAGGACTAGGGGGGATATGATTACAGTGCTTCAGTATTTGAGGGGCTGCCCCAAAGAAGATGGGGGTCAACATATTTTCCAAGGAACCAGAAGGCAGGACGAGAAACAATGGATGGAAACTAATCAGGGAGAGAAGCAATTTAGAACTAAGGAGAAACTTCCTAACAGTTAGAACAATTAATCAGTGGAACAACTTGCCTCCAGAAGTTGCGAATGCTCCAACACTGGAAGTTTTTAAGAAGATGTTGGATGACCATTTGTCTGAAGTGGTGGAGGGTTTCCTTCCTAAGCGGGGGGTTGGACTAGAAGACCTCCAAGGTCCCTTCCAGTTTTATTCTGACTGAAACTTGAGCACTAACTTCACATGAGTCCAAAAGAGAAATTTTAAAGCATGGAGAAGTTTTCTTTCATGTTGCCCATTGGGCAAAGCTGCCCCTTAAAGATCTCTGGGTATCTTAAAGCTTTCAAACCCACATCAGATTACTGGAGATGATTAATGCAGGCTGGATTTAGAAAATGGTGGGAAATGAACTGCAAAACAACCAGCCACTTTGGGGAAGAATAACTGTCTGGCCAAAGATTGACGGCGTTCAGGATTTTTCTGCATGTCACAAGTCTGTGTCATTTGTGCTTATAAGGAAAAAATATGTAACAGTGGAAAAGAAGTATAGGGAGGAATCTTTAATTTTATTTATTTATGTTTGATTTATTTGATTTCTATGGCCACCTTGGCTCAGAACTCTATGAACAGAGCTCGGAATGTTTCTATTTTATTTATCCTAATTCAAAACTGCCCGTCTCCCTCACCTATTCCCATAGGATTTGCAAGACGTATTTCATAAAATGAAGTACAGTATATTTTTATTTCGCTATTTCTGGGCATCCTGGCAATCACGGTGCCTAGCAAAATGAAAAAAGCCCGTTTGCTTTTAGCCAGAGGTGGTGTGTACAAAAATGCATTTGCCTGGTTTAATTTCAAAATTGCCAAAACAAGCGTGAACTTGCAGGATTTAAAGACATAAATCGTGAAAGGAGAAATTTACCTATTTATTTAAGGACATTTAGAGCCCTTGATTTACGACCTTCTGTTTAGGGACCGTTCGAAGTTACAGCAGCAATGAAAAAGGTGACTTGTGACTGTTTTTCACACTTATGGCCGTGGCGGCATCCCCACAGTTACGTGATCAAGATTCAGAGGCTTGGCCACTGGCATGGACTTATGACGGTTGCAGTGTCCCACACATGATCCCCTCTGGCGTCCAGATTCACTTAACAACCACGTTGCTAGCTTAACAACCGCAGTGATTCATTTAACAACCCTGGCAAGAAAGGTTATAAAATGGGGCACCCTGTTATTAACACAGCTGCCTGCAATTACTGCAGGTTCAAATCTCGCCAGGCTCAAGGTCGACTCAGCCTTCCATCCTTTCTAAGGTAGGTAAATTGAGGACCCAGATTGTGGGGGCAATAAGCTGACTTTGTATAAATATACAAAAGGATGAAGGCTATTGCTTAACGCATTGTAAGCCGCCCTGAGTCTCCGGAGAAGGGCGGCATATAAATCAAAATTAAAAAAAAAAAAACTCACTTGACTGTCTTGCTTAGCGATGGAAATTTGGTGCTCCATTTTGCCCGTAAGTCGAGGAATACTGGTATAGGGTCACTCAACTCACTCACGGTGACTCCGGGCAGCTTAAAAAGGAAAAAAACCTCAGCACAAAAAAACACAATAACTACCTAATATAGACAGATCCCTTGTGATTCTCAGCTGCTTTGCTCGCAACTTACTAACCTGATCGTTGGTTTGCAAATCCGACCGTCAACAGGAGAAGCAGCTGTGCGATGAATAAGTCTTCACCTTCCCTTCCATAAATTGTTTTTTTGCAGCCTTTCAAAAGCCCAGGCCTGGCAGACTCCTCAGCCTCCAAAAATTTGTACACCCCGCTTTCTCTATTTGCAAAAAAAACCTATTTGCTCCCTTCTTTTTATGACCCACTGAAGCACATTACAACTTGTAGAGTGGTCGAAGAAACACGGCTGTTGTAACTTTTGCCTGCTCGATCCTTCCAAATTTGCTTACTTGGCCTAGATTCAGGTGTTTTGGCTGGGTGACAAGGAGTAGGAGCAACTCATGGGTGCTACTACAGGGGTAATTTAAAAATAAAAATGACAACGGCAGAGCGGAAATGCTCCGGGTGCATCTGTTCTATTTTGGGTACCAGATCCAGCGATGTGGAACTCCGAAATCTGGGCAGAGGATAATAATTTGAGGAGGGTCCCTCCTCTGCAATCTGTTGGTGCCATCCATCCAGCTCTTTTCCTGCCTGAAATAATGAGAGTTAGCAACCAGCCATCCGTTAAAATGCAGCCAGCCGAAATTTACTCCTGTAGTAATCTTTATAAATTGCCCCTTAGGAAAGGGGGGGGGGGAGAGAGAGAAAGACTCTGCGTGCTACAGATCCCAAAATTAAAAAACAAACAAAAATAGGCAACCCTAAAAGAGGAATAGGTGATCAAATCCTCAACTGGGCAGGTCCAAGATGCTACGTTGGTCGGTGTCCAAATCAAAGGGCAGATGGTGTCCATCTAGTCTATTGACCCTGAAGGAAGAAGGAAGGAAGGAAGGAAGGAGGGAGGGAGGGAGGGAGGGAGGGAAGGAAGAAAGGAAGGAAGGAAGGAAGGAAGGAAGGAAGAAGAAGAAGGAAGGAAGGAAGGAAGGAAGAAGGAAGGAATAGACAAGAAGAAGGATGGAAAGAAATGACAAGATAGAGGAAAGGAAATAGAAGGAAGGAAGAAGGAGGGAGGGAGGGAAGGAAGGAAGGAAGGAAAGAGGGAGGGAGGGAGGGAAGGAAGGAAGGAAGGAAGGGAGGGAGGAGGGAGGAAGGAAGAAGGAAGGAAGGAAGGAAGGAAGGAAGGAGGGAGGGAGGGAGGGAGGGAGGAAGGAAGAAAGGAAGGAAGGAAGGAAGGAATAGACAAGAAGAAGGATGGAACAGAAATGACAAGATAGGGAAAGGAAAGAAGAAGGAAGGAAGGAAGGAAGAAGGAAGGAAGGAAGGAAGGAAGGAAGGAAGGAAGGAAGGAAGGAATAGACAAGAAGAAGGATGGAACAGAAAGGACAAAAGAGATAAAAGGCAAAGGAAGGAAGGAAGGAAGTCTCTTATCCTCCTGGAAAGGGGTGAAAACATAGAGAAGGGAGGCAGACAAGAAGGGAGGGAGGGAGACAGGGAGGGATGGAGGGGAGAAGAAAGAAAGAGAGGAAGGGAGGGAGGGAGGAGGGAGTCATGGGTAAGTTCCCTCATGCCAACCTCCCCCTACCCCCCAATGTGCCAATGTGCCAGTCTGGACTTCCAGCCTTCCTTCCTTGCTATTCAGGTTCCTAAAATAAACAAGAGAGTCATTAACAAACCTGAAAAGGTGTGCGATGGGAACTGGGTGGCTGAGCAGGGGAGGGGGTGGGCGGGACCGAGAAGGTATTTCTGCAGACCTGCCGGCCCCTCCCCTGAAACCCTCCCCGCCTCGGAAGGTGACTGCCTCACACCGCCTCCTGTGCCAAAGGAAAGGGGGCGGCTGCCTCCCAGGCGCCAGGTGGCAAAAATCCACCTGTTCACCTGGTGAGCTCTTTGAAAGGCTTGCCCTTTAAGAATCCTTGGTGATACAGCATGTCACAGAAGTGAGTATCCCCCCCCTCACATTTTGTAAGCATTTAACTATATCTTTTCACGGGACAACACTGAAGAAATGGCACTTGGCTACAAGTAGGGAGTATACAGCTTGTATATAGCAGTGTAAATGTGCTGTCCTCTCAAAATAACGCAACACACAACCATTCATGTCTAAACTGCTGGCAACCATTATCACCTAGGGGTGTGCCCACTTCTGTGATATACTGTTGGTCTGTTTCGACCAGATCTTCCTGCCAATTCGACCTATCAGAACCTTGGAAACCGCCGAGGATCCATTTGGATCAGTAGTGGGTTTCAAATTTTTTTACTACCGGTTCTGTGGGTGTGGCTTGGTGGGCGTGGCTGGGGAAGGATACTGCAAAATCCCCATTCCCACCCCACTCCAGGGGAAGGATACTGCAAAATCCCCATTTCCTCCCGATCAGCTGGGACTCGGGAGGCAGAGAATAGATGAGGGCGGGGCCAGTCAGAATTTTTACTACCGGCTCTACGAATTACTCAAAATTTCCGCTACCGGTTCACCAGAACTGGTCAGAAACAAAAACGTTTCTACACTCCTTGTCTGAGGCCGGGGTAGGGGGGTGTATCAAGGCCCAGGCCAGTGGGGTGTGGCTGATGGTTTGGGGTTGTTGTAAGGAAAATCCATCTGGTTCAGTTCCAGGATGGGAGGAAGATGCTAGAAACAACATGGAGGCTGATTGGAAAGAAAGTTTAACGATGAACAGAACCAACAGATGAACAAATGGCTGAACAGATGGATGGATCTTTATAGTTTCTGTAACTTTGAAGTTTGGCATTTGTGCAATATGGGCTTTGTGCTTCTAAGAGGGTGTTGGGCGAATCCTATTGTGGCTAATGGCTTTCGTCCTGTGTTGTATCTTGAGTGAGGGGCTGCTTGTTCTAATCCTACCATTCTGCCTTTGTTAGAGGTCAAACTTTGCTGCAAGGAGTTTCGAAATATCCTGTCTTGAATGGGTTTCTGCCTGCAGGATTTGCTTGGCTTATGAATAGGGCCATCTAGATAGTTGGTTTCCTCTTTCAATAAGCTCTTTATTTCCTTTTAAGTGCTTGCGTCTGCTGTGGGCTGTTAAGAAAGACTTGGGGGATGCTTTCTGCCTCTAAAAACATGTGTCTCCATTTCTCTTTTAGAGAAATATAATCTGTCTTTTTTTAATATTTCCCAAAATGTTTCACTCTTCTGGGGTGGGGGAGCTTCCCAAAGGGAGCACCTGGGTAAAAGGCAGGAAAATGGGGAGAGGAGCATTGTCCAAGGAGATCCTAAAGGTACTTCTCAGGGGGTCGCACCCCTGGGAGACCCACAAACGATTGTCTCTCATCATTTTTCTGCTACATGGGTAGAAATTTTTCATTTAGAAATTCTCAACCAGGCAACTTTAAGACGGGTGGACTTCCACTCCCAGAATTCTCCAGCCAGCTGGCTGGGGAATTCTGGGAGTTGAAATTCACCCGTCTTAAAGTTGCGCAGATTGAGACACAGAGATCTAAATAACCCCCATTTACACAGAACAAAATCAGGGCATTCATCCAAACTCCATTTACTCAGCTTCCTGCCTCTAAATTATTATTTTTGTTTGTTCTGCTGTGTTTTACAGCTTTTTCAAAATAAATATTTTAAATAAAGAATCGAACACGCGTACAGATCGGAATTTGTACAGATCAGAAGCCTGTCTGGGGCCACCCATCGTTCCCGGACCAGACAAGCCATATCCCAAAAGACTCAATAACCGAATAACAGAGTTGGGAGGGACCTTGGAGGTCTTCTAGTCCAACCCCCTGCTCTAGCAGGAGACCCTCATTTCAGACAAGAGGCTGTCCGATCTTTTCTTAAAGACCTCCAGTGATGGAGCACCCACAACTTCTGGCGGCAAGCAGTTCCACTGGTTAATTGTTCTCAGGGTTGGGAAATTCCTCCTTAGTTTCAGGTTGCTTCTCTCCTTGATGAGTTCCCATCCGTTGCTTCTTGTCCTGCCTTCAGGGGCTTTGGAGAATAGCTTGATCCCCTCTTCTTTGGGGCAGCCCCCCAGATCTTGGAAGACTGCTATCATGTCATCCCTGGTCCTTCTTTTCATTAAACTAGACCTGCCCAATGGTTAGATGTAGCTGGCCATTCAGCTGGATCAGATGTCCAAGTGTATTGGACTTCATTTCCCATGATAATCCCCAGTTTGTGGATTGTGGAAGGTGTAGTCCAGGTTTAAACAACTGGACAGTTGGGTTGGGTTGGTCTTATCTAGCAGGATCCATGGTTGTCTCAGTAGGGACTCGATGACCTTCAGGTTCCCTTCTGCGTCTAGGTTTCTTACCCATCCGAGCAGAGTAATGAGTGGGTGGAAGGAGAGATTGAGCAGCCATTCATCTGGGAAGCTTTGGCTTGGCTCCTTACCCTCAGTAGGGGGTTGGACTAGATGACCTCTACAATGTCTTTTCTACAGGTCGTCCTCGATTTATGACCACAATTTATTTATTTATTTATTTATTTATTTATTTTTAAATTTGTATCTCGCCCTTCTCCCTGTGGACTCAGGGCGGTGAACAGCCAAGTAAAAACATAAACTACAAACATTAAAATACAATTAAAAAGATATATATAAATTTGGCCCCACGATTAAAAACAATAACAGTAACAGACAATTAAAAACATTTTAAAAAATGTTAGGCCAGCCCGGCCTAACAATTGAGCCCAGAGTTTTTGACACTAAGCTTAGGCAACGCTTAGCAAGACAAATGGAGTTATGCCCCATTTTACGACCTTTCTTGGCACCGTTGTTAAGTGCATCACTGCCGTCGTTAATTCAGTAACACGGCTGTTAAGTGAATCCAGCTTTCCCCATTGACTTTGCTTGTCCGAAGGTCGCAGAAGGGGATCGCGTGACTCTGGGACCCTGAGACCGCCATAAGTGTGAATCAGTTGCCAAGCGTCTGAATTTTCATCACGTGATGCTGGGGACGCTGCAGCGGTCGTAAGGGTGAAAAGTCAGAAGTCACTTTTTTCAGTGCTGTTGCAATGGTCACTAAATGGACTGTTGTAAGTCAAGGACTACCTGTATCTAACTCTCTTACTTATCTGGGTAGAATCCATGACTGAGACCAAGGAGTGGGTTCAAGGAGAGGCTAGGCAGTAATCAATCTGGAATGTTTTGCCTTGGGTTCCTAGCCTCAGCAGGGAGTTAGATTAGATGACCTCTAAGTTCCCTTCTACTTCTAAACAGTCCTATTCATCTGAGCAGAATCTATAACTCAGACGGATGAGCAGGATCAAGGAGAAGTTGAACAGCTGTTCATCTGGGAAGCTTTGGCTTGGGTTCCTGCCTTCCGTAGGGGGTTAGACTAGCTGACCTCTAGGACACCTCCCAGTCTTAGGAATCTTACTCATCTGAGCAGAATCCATGAATCAGACGGATGGGTGGGTTCAAGGAGAGGCTGAGCAGCCATCCGTCTGGGACATTTTGGCTTGGGTTCCTACCCTACCCTTAGACAAGATGACCTCCGAAGTCCCTTCCAGTGTTAGGATTCTTACTCATCCACGACCCTATGCCTTAAAATGCAGGAGGGAGGGAGAGAGAGAGAGAGAAAGAGAAAGAGAAAGAGAAAGAGAAAGAGAAAAATAGATAAAGAAAGAGGGAGGGAGGGAGAGAAAGAATGAGAGAAAGGGAGAGAGGAAAGAAGAGAGAGAGGGGGGAAAGGAAGCGAGAGAAAAGAGACAGAAAGAGAGAAAAGAGAGAGAGGAAAGAGAGACAGAAAGGAAGAGAGAGGGAGAGAAAAATAGAAATAGAAAAAGAAAGAAAGGGAGGGAGGAAGAGAAAGAGAAAAAGAGAGAGGGAGAGAAAGAGAAAGTGAGAGAGAAAGAGAGTACAGAAAAGAAAAGAAAGAGAAAAAGAAAGAAAGAGAAAGTAATAGAAAGAGAGAGAGAAAGAGAATGAGAGAAGAAAATGAAGGTGAGAGAAAATGAGTGTGTGTGTGTGTTTATAAAAATGGCAAAACCTCCCATTCAGACCTCAACAATCCCACCGGGTGGCACAACGTTTCCTTCAGTTGTGTTGCCAGAGGAGGGTGAGGAGGTGACTCAAGAAAGGCAGGGGGAGGGGAGGGGCAGGGGGGGCGGGTCAGGGAGGGAGGGAGGGAGGCCTGGAGCTGCTGGGGGAGGGGATGGACGGGTGCCCAGAAGCCCCGCGGCCAATTCGGAGGCTGCGGCCAAAGCGCCACTGGGTTTGTGTTCTTTGGCCACGCAAGGACATTCTTGGCCGGGACCGAAGCACCTGCCCTCCCCCAGCCCTCCTGCCCCTCCGCGGTCTGCTCTGGCTCATCCTGCCCTCCTGGGAACAATTGCGGTCACAAGACGAGGACTAGCTGTACAAGGCCAGCAACTGCAGGTGGTTTTCCAGGGAAACTGGCCCTGTGACTATGGGTGTAACATGTAGCTCGGCCTTTGCATTCTTCATTTGAGAGCTCCGAAGAAGAGGGCTGCCGACGGAGAGCTTTATATGTGTGGTCCTCGACTTACGACCACCGTTGCACCCCTACATTTCTGACCTTAAGTAAGACCGTTGCTAACTGAATTTTTCCCCAATTCATGACGTTCCTTGCCGCAATTATTAAATGAGTTTTGCCTCGTTTCATGACTTTTCTTCCTGTAGTGAATCCTTGCCAATTGTTCAGTTAGTAACTCAGTCGTTAAGCGAATCTGGATTCCTCCGTGGACTTTGCTTGTCAGTAGGTCGCAAAAGGGGATCGTGTGTCCCCCTTTTATGACACTGCCACCGTTGTAAATATGAGTCCGTGGCCAAGAGTCTGAATTTTGACCACGTGATCATGGGGAAGCTGCAATGGTCTTAAATGCTCATAAATCACTTTTTTCAATGTTGTTGTAATGTCGAACAGTCATTAAATAAAGGGCTGCAGAGAAGAGAAATGGGCAGGAAGGCAGTGCATGTTATGGGTCCCATTGATTCGGGATGCCCATGTCCCTTCTCTTGTGTGTGGCGCTTTTGATGACGTCTGGGCAGGTGGGCGGAGCCTCCCGCCACCGCCGCTACCGATTCGCCCGAACCAGGATGAACCGGTAGCAACCCACCATTAGATGGACCCCATCAAAGGTCTGGGGCCTGCAGAAGTTGTGGCTGCTCCATCAATGGAAGTTTTCAAGAAGAGACTGGACAGCCTTTTGTCCAGAATGGGACAACTCGTCACAGCCAACTCGCTGTAGGACAATTTAACAATTCTATTTTAATTACTTAAAATAGATAAAAAAATTATTTTAATTTTTGCCATAGACATTTCATTCTGTCTCTCCTTTTGCATCCTTCCTGTAATGATTCTATTCCAGCCCCATTGGTCACGTGATCAAAATTCAAACGTGGCATGTACTTATGACGGTCGCAGGATCCCTGGGTCACGCGATCCCGTTTTGCGACCTTCTCACAAGCAACGTCAATGGGGTGGGGGGAGCCAGATTCATTGAAGGACCGTGTGACAAAGTTAACAACTGCAAAGGTCCGCTTAACCACCGTGGCAAGAAAGGTCATAAAACGGGGGCAATACTCACTTAACGACGGTCTCACTTAGCAGCAGAAATTTTGGGCTCCATTGTGGTCGTAAGTCGAGGAGTACCCGTATGTCGGAACCCCCTCCCCTTATACCTCTTTCACAATCTATCAGGTGTTAAATACGAACGACACATCTCCTTATAAAACTCCTCTTTCAATTTATAATTCAGTGTAAATTTTGCTCCTTCGCTCCCCTTGTTCTCTTCTTGATCAAGCATGAGGTTATATCCAATTTTTTTTCATATCCATTTAATCAAACGATCTTTGACGTGTTCAACTCCCGTATTCCTTTTTCAACAGTCATTTATACATCTCGGCAATCACTCCAGTACATAAATCCAATTCACAGTCACTTTTCTCATTCATAAAAACATAATTCTTCTCATCCAGTTTAAATCTGTCAACTTGCATAAGACCAATGCATGGATAGATATGGCCTTCTCTTCTCCAGTTCTTTTCTAGTTTTTAATTCAGGGAAAAATTAATTAATTGTTTGGCAGGTCTAGAGAAAAAAAGGGACTTGGGGGGACAGGATAGCAGTCTTCCAGTATTTGAGGGGCTGCCACAAAGAATGGGGGAGGGGACGGTGCTCAACTTTAAAGCACCTGAGGGCAGGACAAGAAACAATGGATGGAAACTAATCAAGGAGAGAAGCAACCTGGAACTAAGGAGAAACTTCAAAACAGTGAGGACAATTCACCAGTGGAACTGCTTGCCACCAGACACTGTAGCTGCTTCATCAATGGAGGTTTTTAAGAAGAAACTGGACAGTCAGTTGCCTCAAATGATAGAGGTCTCCTGTTTGAGTGGGGGTTGGACTAGAAGACCTCCAAGGTCCCTTCCAACTCTATTCTGATGCTGATTCGGAATTAATCAGTGGACTGGCTTGCCTTCAGAAGTTGTGGGTGCTCTAACACAAAGTTTTTAAAAAGAGACTGGACTGACATTTGTCCGGAATTGTCTATGGTAAGGATACCCAAACTTGAGAACTTTATGACTTGTGGACTTCAATTCCCAAAATTCTGAGAGTTGAAGTCCTCAAGGCTTGAGGTTCCAAGGTTGGCCACTCCTAGCATGGAGTCTCCTGTTTGAGAAGGAGGTTGGGCTAGAAGATGATTAGGGGACTAGAGAGGCTAAAACATACGAAGAACAGTTGTAGGAACTGGGTATGTCTAGTTTGATGAAGAGAAGGACTAAGGGAGAGAGCAGTCTTCCAAAATTTGAGGGGCTGCCACAAAGAAGAGGGGGTCCACCTATTCTCCAAAGCCCCTGAAGGCAGTTTAGAAGCAATTTAGAACTAAGGAGGAATTTCCTGACAGTTAAACAATTAATAAGTGGAACAACTTGCCTGCAGAATTTGTGAATGCCCCAACACTGGAAATTTTTAAGAAGATATTGGACAATCCTTTGTCTAAAGTGGTGTAGGGTTTCCTGCCAGGGCAGGGGGTTGGACTAGAAGACCTCCAAGGTCCCTTCCAACTCTGTTATTCTATTCTATTCTATTCTATTCTATTCTATTCTATTCTATTCTATTCTATTCTATTCTATTCTATTCTATTCTAAGACCTCCAAGATCTCTTATTCTGTTATTCTCCTTGAGTGCAAGTCAATTAATCCACATAGGTCAACTCAATTTGTATCATGACAATTTTTCTTCTATAAAAAAGCTTCCACAGGTGTTACTATAAAGAAATTTTAGGAGTCAATCTTACTTAATATCTCTTCCCAAACTCCCATTATGACACGCCTAACAAAATGATTTTGAAAATCGATATTAACCTTGACTTGGCATTACTATAAATGGCCACCAAATTTGCCTCAATTTATGTACAAGCAGTCCTTGACTTATGACTAACAGAATAATAGAGTGGGAACAGACCTTGGAGGACTTCTATCTAGTCCACCCCAAGCAGGAGACTCTGTATGATTTATGGACGTATGTTGGGATGGTTGTAAAGCAAGTCACCACACAACCAGATCCGATTTTGCAATCTTTTTTGTGGCAGTTGTAAAATGTGAATTTTACATTTTTGTTAAGTAAATGCCATGGACGTTAAATGAATCCATTGTTCACTATGGGGCATTTTTTTGCCGGAAAAATACTGGAAGTATAAATGCCAATTTCTGGCAAAAAAAAATAAATTGTAAATCAAACGTTAAGCAATCAAATTTAATAATGATAACATTATTATTAATAATAATAATAAACAATCCTACGACACAGGATGCTGCAAACAGCTGCAGATGTCCTTTTTAGCTTCCTTCCATGTTCAAGAAGCTTATGGGGAGTCTGTCGTAACTTCAGTCACTAAGCAGGCTGTCTTAAATCGAGGACTACCATTGTTACACGCAGTGAAGTCCTCACACAAAAGGAGATGCCAAAGCGGCCTTCTGGCGATCTGAAGTTGCTCAAGGTTTCTAATTCATTATCCTCCCCCCCCTTTTTTTTTATTGCAAGGGAAGGGAAGATGATGTCCTGCAGAATAAAAATAATAAATCTGGTTTTTCTTCTGGGTTTCCGCAGATCTTCAGTTAGAGACCTGGGACCTGAAATGTGAGGAGAACAATAAGGAGCACAAGACCTCCGAAATGGGCTCCCATCAGCTCTTCGTACGCCGAGGACAGCCGTTCCGGATCACATTGAACTTCGCGGGGAGAGCGTACGAAGAAGGCGTGGACAAACTGACCTTCATAACGGAGACAGGTGAGCGGAGGGCCTTGGTTGCCCCTGGAGAGGGAGGGAGGGAGGAGGGGGGGGGAACCCTTCTGTGAGCTGGGATAGATCCCAACTCCCATCATCCACCAGTAGGAGGTAAAATCCATCTGGTTCTGTTGCAAGCTGGGAGAAAGACGCTGGAAAAAACATGGAGGCTGATTGGAAAGAAAGTTTATCGATGAAGCAGAACCGCAGCATGAGGTTCTGGGGCAGCTGACCAAATGGTTGAATGAGCGGATGGATCTTTATAAGTTTCTGTGACTTTGAAGTTTGAACTGTTCTGGGGATTGTGCCATGAAGGGGCTTGTGTCTTTTGCTGAAATGGTGGTGGGTTGATCCTATTATTTCCTCAAAGGTCATGTCCTCTCCTTCATAATCCCATCACCCTGGACCTCAAGATGATTAGAGGACCGGTGGCTAAAACATATGAAGAAAACTTGTAGGAATTGTCTAGTTTAAAGGAATAAAGGACTAGGGGAGACATGATAGCAGTCTTCCAATATTTGAGGGGCTGCCACAAAGAGGAGGGGGTCCACCTATTCTCCAAAGCCCCTGAAGGCAGGGCAAGAAGCAACGGATGGAAACTCATCAAGGAGAGAAGCAACCTGAAACTAAGGAGGAATTTCCCAACCCTGAGAACAGTTAACCAGTGGAACTGCTTGCCACCAGAAGTTGTGGGTGCTCCATCACTGGAGGTTTTTAAGTAAAGACTGGACAGCCATTTGTCTGAAATGGTATAGGATCTCCTGTCTGAGCAGGGGGTTGGACTAGAAGACCTCCAAGGTCCCTTTTAACTCTGTTATTCTGTTAGATAAATAAATGAAATTCACTTTCAGCGGATATCTCCATACTGAACAGCCCTGGACTGGACTTCTCTGAAGCTCTGCCGGGCGTTCCCAGCCTGAACCCCCACATTCTTCCGTGGGGTGGGAAGGGAGGAGGAAGGCTGCAGAGTGGGTGGGTGTGGCTGGGGGGGGGCACGTGGTCTTTGGCCTAGGTTTTATCTCTTCCATCCAGGCAGCCTGTAGGCAGAGAAGGATTCAAGGCAGGGAAACAAAGGCAGGAAGTTGTGGGACGATTCTTTCCCACAATGTTCACACTGTTGTGTTCCCAAACAAAGTGTTGGCCCTCCCTTGGGGACCAAGCCAGGGATGACCCAAAAGCCAGACCCCTTTAATCTGCTGCCCCCCTTGGAAAAATCTCCCTGAGCTGGGAAGCTGCCTGTGGCCCCAAAGGTTGGGGGGGGGGATTCTGCAGTGACTTGCTCTGTGCCAGGAGAGGGTGGGCTTTTGTGCCCAGCAAAGACGGGCACTGCCAGGTTCCCCCCTCCTCAATCGGCCATTAGTGTTGCCATACCAATAAAAGAGAATATATATACTGTGTTTCCCCGAAAATAAGACCCTGCCTTATATTTTTTTGAACCCTGAAATAAGTGCTTGGCCTTATTGCCATGCGCTCAAAAGCCCGATTGGGCTTATTATCAGGGGGTGTCTTATTTGGGGAGGAAACAGGGTAGTTCAGGGTTGAAATGAGGGGTTCTTGGTGCTCTCTGAGCTTGGTGGTTTTCCTGCAGGGAAAAAAAAATGCCAGGGAATTTGTCAGAGGCCTGGCCCTCAGACAAATTAGCCATCAACAGACACATAGACATAAACAATATTTATAGACTGTGCACAAGAGATAATGGACTAGCCAAAAAGGGAACAAGGAGACCGCACACACACCAGCCATCAACACCCAGATGAGCGAGATTAACGCCAAGATTAACATCAGACCCACAATCAAGAACTAAACAATACCCCAATCAAAGAACTGCCAGACAAGTCAACACTAAACAGCCCAAGCAAAGAACCTCCGAGACCAACCCCAGTGTCAGGGGCAAGCTAACAGAATATAAATAGAGAGCACACACCACTCCCTACCAGCACTGACGATGTAACCTCATCGGGTCATGAAATGTCTGCAAGAAAACCACCAAGTTCAGACAGCAGCAAAGACCCCACAGTTCTTTTTTTAAAAAAAAATTTTTATATTTTTATTATTAAAAAATAACAAAAAAGGGAAAAAAATCAATACAAAAAATCAATAGTAAGGAAAAAAAAAATTTCCCCCCAACGTGCTATACAAACGGAAAGGAAGTTTTAGGAACTTGAAGTCTTCAATTCTTCCAGAAATCTCTTTGATAAGGTACTGGTGCCGATTCATCCAATCTCCCAAATGCAAAGTCCACAAATGGTTGCCAAGTGTTCCAAAAAACATTTTCTTTATATATACCACTTCTAATTTTAATATCACAAGTCAATTTATCATTTAATGCAAATTTCCATGTTTCATTGAAATTAAATGTTGACTTAAAATTAGAAGAATGGTACAAAGACCCCACAGTTCTCCTCCTCCTCCTCCTCCCTTCTAACACTGATGATGTTCCCTAGTTGGGTCATGAAACGTCTGCAAGAAAATCCCCAAGTTCAGAGAGCACCAATGACCCCACAGTTGTTTTCCTCCTCCTCCTCCTCCTCTTCCTCCTTCTAGTTCCTTTCCACCTCTGTTATTCTGGATTTCTGCATCCCTTCCCTGCCTGACTGGGTGGGATATTACCAAAACTAAGGTTGCAATTTGATGGTGAAACGGTCTTCGGTGTCTCTTGTAAACCGGTTTCCACCCAGACATCAGCCTTGAACAATTTCTCAACAGTTTGAGGAGTTCCCACTTTGAAGTCACAGCCAGGGATGTCTGCGGTGGGAGAGGAGGTTTTAAAAAAATGAAGAAAATCAGCAACACAGAAACCAGCAGTAGAATATAGAACAGTGATGGGGAACCTTTTAGGCACGGAGTGCCCAAACCGGAAGGCACATGCACACATGCATCCCGCGCACCCCGGACCACCGGAAACCCAATGACCAGCTGGCTAGGGCACATACGAGCCTTGGAAAACCAACGACTAGCTGGTCGGTATGCATGCGTGCGTTGGAAACCGGACGACCAGCTGGCTGAGTTGGGGCGATGGTGCGTGTGCCCACAGAGAGGCTCTGCATGCCACCTCTGGCACAGAGGTTGGCCATTACGGACATAGAATAACAGAGTTGGAAGGGACCTTGGAGGTCTTCTAGTCCAACCCCCTGCAGAAGCAGGAGACCCTATTCACCATTTCAGATAAATGATTGTCCAGTCTCTTTTTGAAAGCCTCCAGGGATGGAGCACTCACCACTTCCAAAGGCAATTTATTCCACTGATTAACAGAATAACAGAATTGGAAGGGACCTTGGAGGTCTTCTAGTCGAGCCTTCTCAAGCAGCAACTTCTATACAAACCCAGACAAATGGCAGTCCAGTCCCTTCTTGAAAGCCTCCAGTGATGAAGCTCCCAGAACCTCTGAAGGCAACTTCTGTTCCATGTGTTGATGGTTCTCACTGTCAGAAATTTTCTCCTTATTTCCAGGTTGAATCTCTCCTTGGTCAGTTTCCATCCATTGTTCCTTGTCTGGCCTTTGGGTGCTTTGGACAATAGCTTGACCCCCTCCCTCCTCTCTGTGGCAGCCCCTAAAATACTGGAAGGCTGCCATCATGTCTCCCCTGGTCCTTCTCTTCACTAGACTAGCCAGGCCTGGTTCCTACAACTGTTCATCGTATGTTATATCTACCCTGTTTCCCCAAAAATAAGAGATCCCCTGATAATAAGCCCAATTGGGCTTTTGAGTGTATGCACAAAAATAAGCCTCCGCCCCAAAATAAGCCCTCCCTGAAAATATTTAAATGCAAAGCTGGAAATCAGGTAAGACAGCAAGAGGAGCCCCATCTTACTCTACACGCCCCAAAATAATAAGACCTCTCCAAAAATAAGGCGAAGCGCTTATTTCGGGATTCAAAAAATATAAGACAGGGTCTTATTTTCGGGGAAACACGGTATATTATTTTTAGGGATATTTTCCCTTTTTCTTCTTTTGTAAAATGGAGCAGAGATTTTGTCCCAAAGTTGCTCTTTTTCCAAAAGGAACTGGACTTTCTTGGGGTTTTTTTTCTTAGAAGACGTTTCTTCCCTTGGGGCTTCGGCTGGCCCCTGACCTTCGCATCTTTTGCCGCGAATTAAAAACTTGGCTATTCGAGTTCCCTGGCCTGGACTGATGGTGTTTTTACGGGTTTTAACTGTATTTGTTTAATTAGGCATTTTAATCTTGCATTGGATTGTGGTTTTATTGTTGTGAGCCGCCCTGAGTCCGTTGGAGATAGGGCGGCATATAAGCCTAATAAAATAAATTAAAAAAATAAAATAAATTTCTCTTCTCATTCAAGAAACTTCTTCAGAACCGAAGAAGCTTCTTGAATGAGAAGGGAAACATTTTCAAAGAAAACATCAAGAAAGTCCATTTGCCTTTTGGGAAAAACCAACCTTTATGATGAGTGGGGCATCCTGGGAGTTGAAGTCTACCCCTTAACTGGCTGGGGAATTCTGGGAGTTATAATCCACCCTTTTTAAAGCAGCCCATCTTGAGTGCCCTACAGAAATTGGTTTTAAATCAGAAAGTTTAAAAAAGGAAAGTCAAGAGAGCAGCTCCCCCCCCCCCAAAGGAAAGGGGCATTGAGAACAGAGTTGGGGCTGCCACCAGGGTATTTACAGACCCCGGTGGAATTTGTAACCGATGCAGCTGACGGAGGGGCTGGAATTTGGGTAGTGGGCCAGAGAAGACCCCCTTTGCTTGGCCAGATGTGACTGCCTTCCCCAGCAAGAGTGGCAGCTCCTGGATCTGGATGAAAAGGGCCTCTGTCTCTCCGGAAGGCAGAGTCGGGGTCCTGGCAAGCAAACCTGAAGGAGGGTCTGTCCCACCCCCCCAACCGCCCATCTGTCCCGGCCTCTCGACACAAAGAGCCGGTGTTGCTGGCAAGGGGGCAGAGGCTGGGCTGGGCAGCTGGGAGTTGGCAGACCCCTCCCAGGAAGTAACACCTCTCTGCCCCCCCACCCCACCCCTCCACCTCCTGTACAAGAATGAATGAGCCTCTGTCTGAAGGGGGAGGGCCCCTCTCTCGCCCAGGGGAGGAACAGGCTACTCCTGTAGCCCGTCCCGTCCCTCTGTGGGGGCCGCTGGATCAGAGTTTGGCCTCCCCAGCCAAGCAGGGGCCGAGACCGGGTCTCAGACTGCCAGTGGCCAGCTGGAGGGGGAGGCAAAACACGCCCCCCCCCGAGGTTCCTGTGTGTGTTTTCAGCCACCGCTTCTGATGCCCGCCTCTTGCCATGAAAGACGCCCATCCTTCTGGTCCTCCCGGATGGGCAGCAGGGCAGATGGCCTGTCCTGGCAGTGGCCTTCCGAGGGAAGGGCAGACTTTGCCTGCTTGGCAAAAAGGAAGAAGTGAGGGAGGGAGGGAGGAAGGAAGGATGGAACAAAGAAAAGCAAAAGGAAAGGAAAGGAAAGGAAGGGAAAGGAAAGGAAAGGAAAGGAAAGGAAAGGAAAGGAAAGGAGAGAGGAGGGAGAGAGAGAGAGAGAGAGAGAGAGAGAGAAGGAGGGAGAGAAGATGAAAGGAGGGAGGGAAGCCAATGGAAGTTTACAGCCAGGATGGGGCAGGTTTTCAGCTCATTTGACCATCAGCCTAACCTTTAGGAGATGCCAAAAGAGCTTGTGGTAATGCAGCCCAATCTGGGGTGTGGGTGTGGGCTGCACTTGTTTTGGGTGAGATGAGTGTACACAGAGAGAGAGAGAGAGAGATGCAAATACACCGCAACAAATGGATGTAATGACCATCCAGAATTCCTGCTGCTTTCCCAGAAGGTGGGCTTCCCAGTCAGGAAAGCCCTCCAAAAGAGAAGCCCACCCCCCAGCAGCCCAGCTGTGGGCAGGAGAGCGGGGTGCTTGCTAGCCCCTTGGCTCCTGGGCTGCTGGGCAGAGCCCCAAAAGTCTGCAAGGAGCAGGAGCTGTCCTGGACAGTTTGACCTGGGCAAGGAAAGGGCCAGGCTTAAGTTGTTTGGGGACCGAGGAGAGGTTGACATCTGCTCTCCTAAATAATTTGGGTCGCTGTCTCCTGGCTGGCTGGGGAATTCTGGGAGTTGAAGTCGACGCCTTTTCCAATGGCCCCGTTTGAGAGAGGCTGAGCTGGACTGCAGAGCAATCAATGCAAAAGTCATGTGATAATGTGACAGCAAGGAGTCTTCCTCCTGGAACATGTTTTCCCCTTGGGTCATTAGCAGCTTCCTGAAAGGCCCCCACCATCACAAAGGGGGAGCCCTGAAATCCCCATACTCCCCCTTTGAAAAATGAGATCATGAACTCACCTGTGCCTTTCTTCTCTCTCTCCTTCCCTTCGTCCCTTCCTTCTCTCCCTCCATCCGTCCCTCCCTCCTTCCCTTCCTCTCTCCCTCCTTCCTTCCATTAATCCCTTCCCTCCTTCCCTCTCTCCCTCAATCCCTTCTTCCTTCCCTCTCTCCCTCTGTCAACCCCTCCCTCCCTCCTTTCCTTCCATCTTCTCTCCCCACTCCTTCCCTTCCTCTCTCCCTCCTTCCCTCCATCAATCCCTTCCTTCCTTCCATCTTCCCTCTTTCTCTCAATCCCTTCTTCCTTCCCTCTCTCCCTCTGCCAATCCCCCCCTCCCTCCTTTCCTTCCATCTTCTCTCCCTCCCTCCTTCCCTTCCTCCCTTCCTTCTTTCCCTCCATCCGTCCCTTCCTCCTTCCCTTCCTCTCTCCCTCCTTCCTTCCATTAATCCCTTCCCTCCTTCCCTCTCTCCCTCTCTCCCTCAATCCCTTCTTCCTTCCCTCTCTCCCTCTGTCAACCCCTCCCTCCCTCCTTCCATTCCATCTTCTCTCCCCCCTCCTTCCCTTCCTCTCTCCCTCCTTCCCTCCATCAATCCCTTCCCTCCTTCCCTCTCTCCCTCTTTCTCTCAATCCCTTCTTCCTTCCCCCTCTCTTCTTCTGTCAATCCCTCCCTCCCTCCTTTCCTTCCATCTTCTCTGCCTCCCTCCTTCCCTTCCGTAGGACCTTGCCCCATCGAGACCTCCGGGACCCGCTCCCCTTTCCCTCTCTCTTGCTCCCTGGAGGGCTCGGCCTGGAGTTCGGCCGTGGAGCAGCAGGACGGGCTGTCCCTCTCCGTCTCCATCTCCTCCCCTCCGGACGCCCGCATCGGCCGATACCGCCTGGTCCTGGACGCCTCCACCCAGTATCAGGGCTCCAGCTTCAACCTGGGCGAGTTTGTCCTGCTCTTCAACCCCTGGTGTCCAGGTAGGTCTTCTCCCCAGCCGTGGGAGGAACCAATGAGCTCTTCTTCTGCCAAGCTAGATCTGGGGAGATCTGCCTCAGCATGGCCTGCCCAGATTACTCCAACCATTGGATCATTCGTGGTTGGATGAGGTTCTTCTGGGGTGCAGAACCAACACCTCTTGTGGGATCCGCCTTGGGGAAGGACGGCCTACGCTGACTAGCAGTATCTTCCCAGGTTTTCAGAGACGGTTCTTCTAAGTCCTTCCTGACATTCAGGAGCAGGGGGTCCTCGACTTATGACCACAACCGAGTCCCAAAATTTCCATGGCTAAGCAACACCGTTGTTGAGTCTCTTATCATTTTTCTTGCCAATGTTGTGGAAGTGACTCCCTTTGGTTGTTAAGTTAGTGACATGGTTGTTGAATGACTTTGACTTTGCTTGTTAGAAGGTCACAAAAGGGAACCACGTGACCCCGGGGACAGTGCAACCGTCATAAATATGAGTCAATTGCTAAGTGCCTGAATTTTGATCATGTGACCCTGGGATGCTGCAATGGTTGTAAGTGTGAAAAAGGATCATAAGTTCTTTTTTTCAGTGCTGTTATAACTTTGGTCACTAAATGAATGGCTATAGGTCGAGGACTTATTTCTTTTCTTCCTTCCTCCCTCCCTCCCTCCCTCCTTCCTTCTTTTATATTTTTCATTCCTTTTTTCCTTCCTTCTTTTATACTTTTCTTTCTTTCTTTCTTTTTCTTTCTTTCTTTCTTTCTTTCTTTCTCTCTTTCCTTCCTTCCTTCTTTTATATTTTTCCTTCCTTTTTTCCTTCCTTCTTTTATACCTTTCTTTCTTTCTTTCTTTTTCTTTCTCTCCTTCCTTCCTTCCTTCCTTCCTTCCTTCCTTCCTTCCTTCCTGTACTGAGCTTGCAATCTCTGGCCTGCAAAGCAAATCCTTCGCCATCGGTGGCCGAGCACATGGACCTGCTGGGCTCACATGAACAAGTTCCATCATGTGATTCGGTTTCTTCTGGCCTAGAAAGTTGCCTGAGAAGCCCGACTAATTGTTGTGTACTTTGGAAACCATGGTTAGATAAACAAGGTCTTAGGACCCAGCCCTTGTGAACAGAAGGTGCCATGGGCTAATTGCACGTTGGCCGTTCCAAGTGAAGGCATCTCACATAACCAAAGAGATTTTCCCAGAGGCCAGGAAGCTTTTGCTAAGCCGGAGGAATTACAACCAGTATCTGCGTTGATGCCACCTGTTATTACCTTCGTGATTTTATTTTTCTTACCTGTCTTTTATGGGAAGGCAACTCCCAAGAGCTGCGTCCAAGGAACACACTTTCCCTGAAAGTTCACCTAATGCACCATTGATGGCTTCCAGAGCACAGAACATAGAGTAACAGCGTGGGAGGGGACCTTGGAGGTCTTCTAGTCCAACCCCAGGCCCACGGCAGGAGATCAAAGGGCTTTTGAACTGAGATATGAGGGTGCCTCCTGCGTGAACCTCCTGCGCGAGCTGCACTGGCTCCCGGTGGTCTTCTGGGTGCGATTCAAGGTGTTGGTCACCACCTTTAAAGCGCTCCATGGCTTAGGACCGGGGTACATACGAGACCACCTTCTGCCGTCAACAACCTCCCACTGGCCAATATGCTCCCACAGAGAGGGGCTCCTCAGGGTGCCATCGGCCAAACAATGCCGACTGGCGACACCCAGGGGAAGAGCCTTCTCTGTGGGGGCACCTGCCCTCTGGAGTGAGCTGCCCCTAGAGCTTCGTCTTAGCCCCGACCTGCGTACTTTTCGCCGTGCCCTAAAGACCTTCCTGTTTCAGCAAGCTGGACTGGCCCAGTACGAATTTTTAAACGGGTGTATGTGTGTTTTAATTCGCGGGCCAAATTTTTATACTCGATTTTAATTGGTTTTAATTTTAAAAATCTATGTGTTTTAATAAGGCTGTACACCGCTCTGAGTCCTTCGGGAGAAGGGCGGTATAGAAATCTAATAAACTTGAAACTTGAAACTTGAAACGTGCCATCATCCTGTCCATAATTTGCCACTGAGTAAGATGGTGAAGAGGAACATGGGAGATATTTAAACACCACCACCCCTTATCCTGGGCCACTAAAATTCCCCTTTCTGTGGCACTCCCATGTTCCCTGAAGACCCCAAAGATGTTGGCCAACCAATTTCCAAGAGTCTTGGGGATTGGAGGTCCATTGTGCTTCAATCTCCAGATGAGGATGGTCTTCAGAAATCCAGAGAGGATGGCTGATCTCCTCGTGAGCATCTCTTGGGCAGGGAAGGCCAACAAGGATGAACCTGGGTCTGGGGGCTAAACCATATGATAAACAATCGAGGAGACGAGTGGTGTCTAGTCTAATGAAGAGAAGGTCTAGGGGTGATATGATAGTTATCTTCCGTTACTTGAGGGGCAGTCACCAAGAAGATGGGGTCAAAGTCCTTTTCAACTCTGTTATTCTGCAGTGACCAAAATATTGGACTCAAGTCTGACATGTTGATTGATGTTGATGTTGTTGACGTCCAGTTTTGGTCACCACAATATAAAAAAAGAGGTTGAGACTCTAGAAAGAGTGCAGCGGAGAGCAACCAGGATGATGAGGGGACTGCAGGCTAAAACATACGATGAACAGTTGCAGGAACACTAGACTGATTAGTCTAGTGAAGAGAAGGACCAGGGGAGACAGGAGACAGTCTTCCAATATTTGAAGGGCTGCCCCAAAGGAAGGGGAGTCAAGCTATTCTCCAAAGCACCTGAAGGTAGGACAAGAAGCAATGGATGGAAACTCATCAAGGAGAGAAGCAACCTAGAACTAAGGAGGAATATCCTGTTAATGAAAACAATTAACCAGTGGAACGACTTGCCTCCAGAAGTTGTGAATGCTCCAACACTGGAAGTTTTAAAGAAGATATTGGATAACCATTTGTCTGGAGTGGTATAAGATCTCCTGCTTGAACAGGGGGTTGGACTAGAAGACTTCCAAGTTCATCCCAAAGGTGCTTTTTCAAGAGGCAACTGGACTTTCTGGTTTTTCTTTGAAGACGTTTCTCTTCTCATCCAAGAAGCTTCTTCAGCTCTGACTGGATGGTGGGGAAGGGAAGGATTTCTACTCCTTGCAAGACAGCTGGTCATTTGCACTCTGCAAGGAATATCAATCCTTCCCTTCTCCACCATCCAGTCAGAGCTGAAGAAGCTTCTTGGATGAGAAGAGAAATGTCTCCAAAAGCAAAAAAAAACAAAAACAGAAAGTCCAGTTGCGTCTTGAAAAAGCTCCTCTGGGACAACCATGACCTGGATGGTGGAGAATCTCCATAGACCCCTCTAAGGTCCCTTCCCACTCTCTTATTCTATGTTCTTCCTCACTCAACCCCAGAGCGAAAAGCATCACAAAGAGCCTTTTGAAAGAAAAGTCTAAAATCTTAGGCGAAAGGGACTGGCGTCCCCCCCGGCCTCTCTTTCAACATAGCTTCGCCAAAGGGGACTTTCCCCATGAATCATTTGTGGCAGCCGGGACCAAAACATCGAAATAGCCCGAATGTTATGCCATCTTCCTCGCTGAGCAAACAAACCAGCTCTCCACATGTTGTTGGAATGTGCTGGCAGAGGCGGGCTGGACCGTCCCACCACGGAGGTCTAATTGACCTCTTGCAAAGAGAAAACAAATACGCTTAAAATATCTTTTATTTTAATAAAATAAAATAGGCTAGCAATGCTAGTCTAGTGAAGAGAAGGACCAGGGGAGACAGGAGAGCATCTTCCAATATTTGAGGGGCTGCCTCAGAGAGGAGGAAGGGGGTCAAGCTATTCTCCAAAGCACCTGAAGGCCAGACAAGGAATAATGGATGGAAACTGATCAAGGAGAGATTCAACCTGGAATTAAGGAGAAACTTCCCTCCAGTAAGAACCATTAACCGGTGGAACAGCTTGCCACCAGAAGTTGTGGGTGCTCCATCACTGGAGGTTTTTAAGAAGAGACTGCTCTGCCATTTGTCAGAAGTGGTGTAGGGTCTCCTGCTTGGACGGGGGGTTGGACTAGATGACCTCCAAGGTCCCTTCCAACTCTGTTAATCTGTTAATCTTAATTGCTTCGGCCCGATTTCCCCTTTTGTAAGGACGCCTGTTCCTTACTTGTACGCAATGAATACTCATCCTCTAGTCTAGAGTAAAGAATTCAAACATTCATGTCCTCCTTGTGATTATTTTTCACCTAAAGGCGTGGAACAGAAAGTGTTTCCCCCCGAGGTGTGTCTGTTCGGAAGCCAAAGATGAGTCAAGGAAAACAGGAGGACAAGGAAAAGGGACAAACACGTTAGGAAAAAAAGGAGCCTTTTCATAGGCGAAGCAGCCTCTCCTTTTGACCAATTTTAATTCTGGCGCTTTAATTCTAACGTTTAATTGTGTTTAATTTAATTAGAATTAAATTAGAGTTCACGCATTGGTTCTAATTAGACAATTTAACTAGAATTAATATTTGGATTCTAATGTTCCGTTATTCGATATATTCGATATTAAATTAATATTTTAATACTAATGTTCTATTATTCTGTTGTTGTTTTTATGTGTACATGTAGTCCTTGACTCAGGACTGCAATAGAGACCAAAATTTCCTTTGCTAAGCGATATAGTTGTTAAGTGAGCTTTGCCCCATCTTACAACCGTTCTTGCCGATTCACCGTTGTTAAGTGAATCACTGCAGTTGTTCAGTTAGTAAGCCGGTTGTTAAGTGAATCCGGCTTCCCCCATGGACTTGGCTTGTTGGAAGGTCGCAAAAGGGGATCACGTGACCCCAGGGCATTGCAATAGTCATAAATATGAGTCAGTTGCCAAGCGTCTGAATTTTGATTGTGTCCATGGGGATGCTGTAATTGTCATAATTCAGAAGTGGGTTTCAGCAAGTTCTGACTAGTTCTGGAGAACCGGTAGCGGAAATTTTGAGTAGTTCGGAGAACCGGTAGTAAAAATTCTGACTGGTCCCACCCCCATCTATTCTCTGCCTCCTGAGTACCAGCTGATCGGGAGGAAATGGGGATTTTGCAGTATCCTTCCCCCAGGAGTGGGATGGGAATGGAGCTTTTGCAGTATCCTTCCCCTGCCACGCCCACCAAGCCACACCCACAGAACCGGTAGTAAAAAACTTTGAATCCCACCACTGTCATAAGTGTGAAAAACATTGCCGTTGGAACTTCCAACAGTCCCTTAAACAAATTGTTGTTAAGTTAAGGACTGCCTGTACCATTTTATATTTTAATATGTCATTCTATACCACCCAGGGCCCCTCTTTGAGGAAGATGGGTAGTTCAGAAAAACGGACAAATACATAGGTACATATATGAAGTCCAGAGGGGTTGGACTAGAAGACCTCCAAGTTCCCTTCAACGTTGCCATTCGGTTACTCAAAAGACCCAGGGGGGCCAGCTCTGGCAGCTTGAATGGGAAAAGATGAGGCTGGAAGGTTTCCAGGGGCCTCTCACTTCTCCGGTGCCCTCACGGAGGCCATTGCAGGACATCCTGTTCCCTGGTTGAACCCTGTCCTGGTTTCCTGGACTCCCCCAGCCTTTGCCCTAAAGACCGGCCAGATCAAGGGAAGAGGAAGTCCCACTTGGCAGTGGTGGGACTTGGAGGAGCGAACGGGGCCTGATGGGCTTCCAAGATCTTCTTGCTGCTCTCCCAGGCAGATGGCAGGAAGAGGGGGCAGGTTTTGGAATGGCAGATTCCAAAAGTCAAAACCCAGCTAGGGAAGTGCTAGGAGGGAGGGGAATTGGCAGAAAGGAAGAGGAGGAGGAGGAGGAGGAGGAGGAGGAGGAGGAGGAGGGTCAGGTTTCCTCTTAACACACCCAACGGAATCAACACTCCCAAGCAGGCATGTTCCTCAAAGTACAGATTTATTAGGCATGTCATATTGGCACATCTGGGGAAAAACTGACTCTGAAGGATCTGAGGTTTCCCCCACCCAAATCAAACACGAAAGTTCTTTCCCCCCTCCCCAGGTCACACATCTGTGACATGGTCCAATCAGGTTGCAGTCCCAATCCTGGCTGGCTTTGGTCCATGCCTCTCCAACACCTGGTAGAGTGTCCTTGGCTCCCACGGGAAAGAACTCTCTGAGTCTCCATCGTCAGACTTTCAATGGCATCGTTTTAGCTGCCATCTTGACTTTTTTGACCTGCCCTGTGGACATCCCTGGGTTATCTTTACCTTCTGGGGTCAGACTGAAGGCTACATATTATCCCCTTGTCCAAGTGTCCAAGGACAGCTGAAGTCCGACTGACTTTCAGAACTTCATGGAGAACCTCAAGGGATGATCTCAATCAACCTTGAAAACATGATGTTATTTTTCATATCATGAGTCTGAGAGAAGCCCCCCCTCCTCCATACGAACCAACCCCACACAATTTTGCGTCAAGGGGATTACTGATAAACTAATCAATTCCCATTATCCTCACCTTCCTGAAGCTTTTCTCCGCTGCTGATAAGAGGAAATCTCTGTTTTGCCTGACAGCAAAGAATGAGCAAGCTCTATTTTCAGGAGAAGTCATCTGTCTTTCTTCATTCTTTGCTTCAAGGTGGTTTCTTTCAGGTTGGCCTTCCTCCGTGGGGCGTCCTTGGGACGTGGGCTAGATTGCCAGCTCCCGTGATCCTCACCCTGGGGGTGGGGTGGATGGCCAATGTTCTGGAAGACCAGCCCTCCAGGGAAGGTGGACACAGAGGTTCTGCAGAAGTTCTCTTGTGTCAGGGCTTCTCTCCATCCCAAAACTGCCTCCTGCATCTGAGCTTCCTTTTTTTCAACAGAGGACTCCACGTACATGGAGAACAATGAGGACCGGGTTGAGTATGTGTTGACCCAACAAGGCCTGATCTACCAAGGATCGAAGGACTACATCGTCTCCATCCCATGGAACTTCGGACAGGTGAGCTGTTCTCTTGTCCCACTATGGGTGGGGCCGCATCTCCCAAAGGATATCTGTCTGCCCCACCAGGTCAGGTGGGGGGTGGAAGAACTTCAGGTCCCTTCCATTAAACATGACCAGGACCACACTTTCTGTGGTGGCCAGTCTCTTCTCAAGATCTGAAGCTTCCCTCCATGCTGTTGGCTTTCCAGAAAACCATAAAGACCTGGATTTTCATCCAGGAACAAGGCTAGGAGTGAAGAGAACCCCAAATGTGCATGCAGATGTGTTATTGATGGGATGTTGTGTCACTGGGATGCCGTATGTGATGTAGTTGTGGGGTTTTCTGGATTTTGTTTATTCCGATTTTGTGAATGATGCGGGGAAGTCACCTAGGACTGTTGTGCATAAGAGAGACAGCCTTATAAGCATTCTAAACCAATCAATCAATCTTCTAGGCATGGTCAAAAACCCCTTATGTATCTTCTCACCCATCTTGAAGGTTGACTATTTCATTTTGGTGTCATTCAGTTGAGGGGGGTGAGGGGAAGGAGTAGAAGGGGTGTCGGTCTATCTCTCTATAATCTGTTGCTGCTCATGAGGATAGTTATTATAACTGGATATCTATCTATCTTTTATCCCTATCTATCCATCCATCCATCCAATTTCTCTATATCATCTATCAATCCCATCCATCCATCCATCTATCTATCTATCATCTCAATCATCAATCAATCATATCTATCCATCTTTCTCTCTCCCTCTCTCTCTCTTCCTCCCTCCCTCCCCCTCTCTCCCTCTGTTGAAGTCCACAGTTCTTAAAGTTGCCAAGGTTGAAGACCCCTGCTATGGAGGGCTTTATAGGTCACAGCCAGCACCTTGAAGTGGACCTGGTACCAAACTGGCACCCAATATACTGTAGTTTGCGGAACAGGGGGGGTTATATTTGTCCTTCTCTAGGCTCTCAAAATCGCTTGCGTGGCGACATTCTGCACCAGCGGAAACTTCCAGATACTCTTCAAGGGTAGCCCCACGTAGAGCCCCTTGCAGTAGCCAAGGCAGGAGATGACCAGGGCAAATTATGTGGAGCAGAAAAAATCACCATCACCCCGATTCCATTTCCAGAGAGTCCTTCCGTTCAGGAATTGCAGCGTTCCTAAATGCTCATTCCGCAAAACAGATTTATTTATTTGTGAAATGTTTTGGCCATCCATCTTACCACAGGACAACTTTGCTAAAAATATATATATATATATGAAGGCCCCACTGTGTACCACAACACGCAACCCTATTTTTAAACATTCAGAACTAGGAAAGTCATTTAAAAATATATTTGGGTTTCTTTTTTGGGGGGAGGGAGACATGTTTGGTGGCGTTTCGGCACCCAAGTAACCAGCCAACCCAACCATCCGTTGGGGAATTTGGCCATTTGTCAACACTGTCTCCAGGTTTCCACAAATGCTTGGTGGTGTTGACACTTTGCAGTCAACCTGACTAGAGCGAAGCAGCATTAGGGCTGTTCCAGATGAGTGCCAACCCATCGTTCAAAAGCAGCCGAACGGGAATGGATAGGCAAGGGGACAGGCACCGCATGATTCCCCAAGATAGTTCTCAACAGCTTGCCAGGTTTGGCCGGTGATCCAGATCTCCAAGTTAGGAATCAGCTTTAACAGATTAACAGAGTTGGAAGGGACCTGATAGGTCATCTAGTCCAACCCCCCGCTCAAGCAGGAGACCCTACACCATTTCTGACCGATGGCAGTCCAGTCTCTTCTTGAAAGCCTCCAGGGATGAAGCTCCACAACTTCCGAAGGCAACTTCTGTTCCATCGGTTGATTGTTCTCAGTCTCGGAAAGTTCCTCCTCATTTCTAGGTTGAATCTCTCCTTGGTCAGTTTCCATTCATTATTCCTTGTCTGGCCTTCAGATGCTTTGGAGAATAGCTTGACCCCCTTCCTCCTCTCTGTGGCAGCCCTCCAAGTATTGGAAGATGCTCTCCTGTCTCCCCTGGTCCTTCTCTTCACTAGACTAGCCGTGCCCAGTTCCTGCAACTGTTCATCGTATGTTTTAGCCTCCAGTCCCCTCATCATCCTGATTGCTCTTCTCTGTACTTTTTCTAGAGTCTCAACGTCTTTTTTATAGTTTTATAGCTTGAAGCCCAGGAAAATGTTGTGGGGTGCGTGGGGGAGGACTTAGTTTGAAAAGACTCAGCTGTCCTCTTGCCCAAAGTCCACTTGTACTCAGGGACTGGAGCAGGGCGTCCAAACTTGGCAACTTTAAAACAGGTGGACTTCAACTACCAGAATTTCCTTAGCCAGCAGTTTGGGGAGTTGAAGTCCACAAGTCTTAAAGTTGCCAAGGTTGGCCATTTCTGGACTAGAGCAGGGGTCTCCAAACTTGGCAACTTTAAAACGTGTGGAATTCAACTCCCAGAATCCCCCAGCCAGCATGCTTTGACTTCCCATGTCACCTTTCCCTTCTTCATTTATTCTTTCTTGTAGGCCAATTTAATTTTGCCAGTACTCAGTAGACTCTCTGTTCTACTAGTTTCCATGCATCTCTTTCACTATCCTTTGAATATTCTTCCAATGCCCTTTTTTTTTTTCTTCAATCATTTGATGTACTTGCAATGTTCCACGCCCACCAATTTTGCTTGGTCAGTCAAGTCTGTCAATGTAGCTGCGAGGATGAAGGGCACGATTCATTGTCATTATTTTTCTGGTCTTCCTAGCCAGGGCTTTTAATTCTGCTTGAGTCCAGTCCACTGTTCCAGCTGTGTCTCTAATGACTGGAATTCCCTAAGTATTAATTGCCTTGATGGCATTTCCTCCACTGAGTTTGGACTTTAAGATCTTCTTCACTCTCTTGATCTAGTCACTTCTAAGCTCTTTCTTGACTTCACTGTGCTTGTTGTTGTCAGTTTGAAGGATGCCCAGGTACAAATATCATCATTTCATCCAGGCTTTTGATGTTATTTCTGTAGGGCATATTGATTCCTTCAATTTTGACTATTTTTCCATGTCTGATGGTAAGCATGGCGCATTTGTCCAGTCCAAACTCCATTCCAATATCTTGACTGTACATACGGACAGTAACATATTAACATATTAACAGAGTTGGGAGGAACCTTGTAGGTCATCTAGTCCAACTCCCTCTCCCACCTAAGCAGGAGACCCTACGACATTTCTGACAGAGGACAGTCCAGTCTCTTCTTGAAAGCTTCCAGTGATGAAGCTCCCACAATTTCTGAAGGCAACTTCTGTTCCACTGGTTGATTGTTCGCACTGTCAGAAAAATTCTCCTTATTTCCAGGTTGAATCTCTCCTTGATCAGTTTCCATCCATTGTTCCTCGTCTGGCCTTCAGGTGCTTTGGAAAATAGCCTGACCCCCTCCTCTCTATGGAAGCCCCTCAGATATTGGAAGATGCTCTCCTGTCTCCCCGGGTCCTTCTCTTCACTGGACTAGCCAGGCCCAGTTCCTGCAACCGTTCATCGGATGTTTTAGCCTCCAGTCCCCTCATCATCCTGGTTGCTCTTCTCTGCACTCTTTCTAGAGCCTCAACAACTTTTTAATAGTGTGTGACCAAAACTGGATGCAGTATCCTAGGTGTGGTCTTACTAAGGCTTTATAGAGTGGTAGTAGTACCTCCCTTGATCTTGATTGTATCCCTCTGTTAATGCAACTGAGGATTGCATTGGCTTTTTTGGCTGCCTCCACACGCTGCTGGCTCCTATTTAGTTGGTTGTCCACTAAGACTCCAAGGCCCCTCTCAGAATTATTGCTATTAAGCCTGGTTTCACCCAGTTTATATGTGTACTTTTGGTTTTTCTTATCTAAGTGTAGGACTTTACTTTTCTCTACACTGAATTTCATTTTGTGAGATAGGGCCCAGTGTTCAAGTCCATCAAGATCCATCTGGACCTTGAGCCTATCTTCTAGGGTGTCAGCTATTCCTGCCAGTTTAGTATCATCTGCAAATTTGGTGAGTTTCCCTTCTATTCCCTCATCTAAGCCATTTATGAAGATATTGAAGAGTGTTGGACAACGATTCCATTTCAGGTGATGTTTTTCCATACAGTTCTCTTAGTGGTTAGTTTCCATCCATTGTTTCATGGTGGCTGAGGGCTTCTGAGAGTTGTAGTCCACACCTGATGTGAGGAATTATAATTAGGTGGATCACAAGAGGGAGGGGGGCAGAGGTATCTCAGCCTGGATATTCCGTGTGAGAGAAAGAGGCTGAAGACAGCCCCTCCTCAATACCTCCCAGAGTATATTGTAGATGCAGATAGTTGAGTGTTTACTCTGGCACGCTTTTGCCTAAAGGTGTGAAACAATAAAGAACTCAGCAGGGAAGAATTACAGCTTGTCATTCTTGCTTGAGAGCTTGACAGCTGCCCAGATTTCCATCTTGTGCTGGAACAAAGGCAGAATTTTTCCTGCTTGTTGTATACCTTGGCAACAGACACCCGCAAGGGTTCAGTGATCCTGACCTCACCGTCGAACCTGAGCTTCTTCTCAGCTCATATTTTAAAAACCACTAAAATGATTCTCCAAGTTCTGGAAGACCACCAGTTTCTCCCGCTTTATCCGATCCAGAATCAGAAGATATAAATTGCATTTCACTTTGTCCTTTCTATCAGCTTCTCTGGAGTATCCTTTTATTTGGGATACTCAGCTTCTAAAAAAAACCCTGCCCCCTCCCCAGATGAGAGCAACGTAGCTTGCTGTCCCACCAAACTGAGACGGAAGCCAGGACTGGCTATTACAAGATGTTCTGTCCGGCAGAAAGAAACACGCTGGTGTCCAGTGAACTTCCTCTTGTAAAAAGGTACATAAACTTAAAAATGAGCATTTGTACATCCTTGCCAAGGTTTGAAGGAGGGAAAGAAGGAGCAGATTCATAACTGGGGTTTATGGCGGGTCTGAGGTTTGCAGCAGGAAGTTTAGATGTTCTTGGAGACATTTGGCTCTCGGTCCTGATTTTCAGGAAGGGCAGATCAACGCACGATCCATTTTTAAAA